TATCGAGCTGTCTTTCAAAAAAGCCATGTCTCGTTAGATCTGTCCTTTGATGCTAAATTGGACAAAGATGACGCAAATTAAATTTAGATTACATAAATTTTAATTAGCATGTTAAATATCTGCTTGCTGCAATTGACTGCATGCGCCCCTACCTCAGATGGCGACCCTTGAAATCAAAGAAGGCTTTTTTAAACTATTGATATCGACAAAAGCAAATAAAAGCAGGGATGAACAAGTTTACAGAAAAAAAGGATCCTTTGAAGACTATTGTGAAAGAAAGACGGAGAAGCATACAGCATAGAGCTCAAGAAAAGTTAATTATTTGCTGAGAGAAATATTGGTTCCCCAAAAATACTCAGAGAAAAAGTGATCATAAGCGTGTTTTGAGAAATTGCATAACTTTTTTAGTGCCATTATTTTGAGATCAATTTCAATCACAAATCTCGCCAAACAAAGAAATTTAAAAATATATTCCGCGCCATGTTTCGATAAAAGAAAAAAAAATTGAAATTAGTTCGACTTTCAAGTCTTTATGTTGGTGATTATGATAGGCTTGCCCAACTAGATATAATTTTTTGGGTTGGATGCAAAAATAGATCATCAATGAAGTGTTTGAAAAACTAAGTATTTGATTGATACTAACAAAGAACCAATTGAGGCAAACTTTGACGAGTATTAAAGAATCCGAATTCTTGAGGAGTTCGAATCATAAACAGTCTTGACAGATGGCACTCCCAGCTTTCACTCATATCGTTCCCCCATACTTCACAATTAGCATAGTTTCATCTGCATCAATGACCGTTGATCTGCATCATTTTCATTTTAACTGCTTCCAACATGAATAACAAAATAGTAAAAGTCGAAACGTTAGTCATGTAATTTAGTCAGTGTCTTTTGACACGACAGAAATTTGAGCAAATGGACTATCAAGAACAGCAGCATCGCGCTCTAGGCATAAAAGGAGTAGTGTAATCGTTAAGGGAAGTAAACAATCATGAAAGAACAAGTCTGACTAGTTAAGGGAAGTAAACAATCAAGAAAGAACTAGGAGATCGACGAAATCTGGTATTTAGATCCGGCCTGTATTGCCAATTTCACCAAGTGCAATCATGATATCAAATTTCAGTTTGTTGCAGTTAACTGCATCTCTCGCTACATCAAAGTGCATTCTTTGAAATCAAAGTATGCTACTTCAAACTAATGATATGGTTCGAAATCTTGATTGGATAAGGGTACAGGTTTATAGGATCTTTTGAAGGAAGGGCATTAAAGCATAAAACATAGAATGCGAGAAAACTCCCTGATTAAACTAGAAAAAAATTGTTTCCTTAAAAAAGTATAATCATAAAAAAAACTATTTGGAGAAAAGCCTATTTGGCGAAACTGTAATTTCAGTGCAATTGATTTTGCAGACTGTCCTGTTGAACTCTCCTTACGTTTTTCTTCTGAATATCATTTTTCATCAGATAGCCACAGACGCGAAAACATCCTTGTTAAGAGCTATTGATGCAAGTAGTCGATTTTGGATGTGTAATCTATGATTTTTAAAATAATCCGAATAAGGCAACTCACAGCTGCTTAGAGTTTTTTGAAAAACCAAAATTCTTCAAATACTAAACAATGAGTGTGCCCTATCTCTGCATGTTGAGAAAACATCGAGAAACGATGCAGTTTTTGCCCCAAAAATCTTAGCACAGACCAAGTTTTCATACGATAAGGGTGCCAAGAAACTAAGGTTTGCTTTACAAGGCTTTTTTGAAAACATTTCATTTGCTCTTGACGTTAAAAAAAGACAGAGAGCTGAGGATGTTACGAAGCGGCCTGAATGAGCTGAAGCTAATATAAAAATCAAGCGATTATTTGTCAATTGACTCGGAGTGTTATTTGGATTGTCTCTTAGACTACTCCCACAACAATTTTTTGTCATATCTGAAGACGCAGCTAAACACTACAAGACTCGATTAGTCGAAGCAATCTCTATGTCAGAAAGATGCCTGTGACTGACTATGTTCTCTCATGATAAAAAAATCAGTGTTGCAAAAACCGATCATGCTAAAACGTTTCTCGCAACTGAATGAGTACAAAGTTGACGACAAGAGGATATTTTGGCAAAAGATCCTGCTCAAAAAATTATTGTAGTAATGCGCTTAAATGAAGCTTATTTGTGCAAAAAGGTCATATCCTAATCCTTAGAGTAAGATTGGTTCGACTGAGATCATTTTGTACAAAAATTGACGAGCTATTGTCATTTTTGAAATATAAACGCAGAAAAAAATATGTATGAGTCTCTCGATTTCATGTTGAACACTATTCATTGCATCAGTCACTATTACTATGATAATGATAATATTATGCTTTCGATCTACCCAGAACACTTCACACGATTTTTTAAATCCTGATATAGCTAATTGCGTTGTTTCAGTCGAACTAAAATTTGATGCAGTTCTAACAAAAGAAGTCTATATTTTTGGTTTATGGTAGAGCGTGCATAAACACTTTATGTGCGTTCAGATAGAAAAATTACCAAAAAAACACTATTAGTACCAAATTATGCCATTAATAAACTTCATATAGTGGAATTTATCAACCGCTGTAAGCCTTTGAAATTTGGCTGCAAAAGATTTTTTGGCTTGATGTGCATGCTCTTCAGTTTTGAAAAAAAAATTAACTTTTCTTGATTTTCAGACTAATCAGACCAATCTGGACCCCATCAGACCAATATGGACCCCTGGTTGTATTTTGCTCAACCTGTAGGGCGAACGGTAGTTACAGTTCAGCTATATAAATAATTATGCGATTATTCTCTTGTGTTTAAGATTATTCAAAAAACAATTCACGTAACATGGCAACTACTGATGGAAGAACTAAAACAAACTGCAGATTTAGTTTGTTATGGTTTATTGGTATTTATAGTGCTCAGGTTATAATTACAAGCTAACTTCCATTGTGTTTTAGGCTCAAGGATCATTAATATCACTTAATGATCTCAATAACGTTTTTCATTTGATAATTTGTATAAAGCAAAACAGTTCTTTTTTTTTCCAATTGTTCCCCTTTTGCAAAAACAGATTCTTTCTAAAGCTATAGGCGATATGTTTTGAACAAAACCGTCAAACAAAATAGAAAAATTACCAAAAAAACACTATTAGTACCAAATTATGCCATTAATAACCTTCATATAGTGGAATTTATCAACCGCTGTAAGCCTTTGAAATTTGGCTGCAAAAGATTTTTTGGCTTGATGTGCACATGCACCAAAATCTTACTTATTTGTTAATTAGATTTCCAGGAAAAAATTTTTTGGCACAGCAATTTCTGAAACCACCGATTGATCTATCAAATGGTACTGATTTGTGTTTCTGTAGAAGGTATGCCCTTAATTTTTCGTTTGATAGTATAAATCGGTTCGCAAACAAAAATTTCAGTTTTTTTTGCAATCATTAAAAAATTGTAATACTAGATGTTGTTTGTTTGCTGCAGATCAGATTAATATAAAAAAACCTCTTGGTTTGATTAAGAAATCATGTCTAGGAAAGATCATTTTTACAAACTGTGGATCAGATAAATTAGACTGCACATGCACTAAAATCTTACTTATTTGTTAATTAGAGTTCTAGGAAAAAAAAATTTCAAAGTAATTTCTGAATCCACCGAGTGATCTATCAAATGGTACTGATTCGTGTTTCTGTGGAAGGTATGTCCTTATTTTTTCTTGTGTTTTTGGCGAGATGTGACGAGTCTGGTTTTTTAAGTAGTGATTTCCATTTAATGCAGCATCTTGCCAATGATTTTTTGCTTTTTTTTGTCGTTTGACCCACTCTGGGGTATTACATGCTGTGTTTTCTTGTTTCTATGCTTTTTAAGTGTTCCTCAGACAAAACACACTGCTGGTCTTTTATGTTTTTGTTACTTGAACTAAAAAGTTTAATATTTGTACCAAGAAAGTTTTTAGATATTTGCATGATTTCGAAAAATTTTAGCTTTAGTTTCGAAAAATTGAGCCATATCATTTTCACAGTTGAAAAAGAAGAAAATCAGTTTTATCGGAAATAAAAGTTAGACTATTTTTTCATTTAATCGTTGACGTCTTCTAGCATTTTTTTAGTGTGCTCTTGCAATAACTATAAAGAGTTATCTCAAAATGTGATATTCAGGATATATTCATTAGCGTGTTTTTTTGCTATCTCTGTTTGCAAAAACTTAAGCATCTTAAAGTGAAACAGTTTCTTCAATGAATTCCTGTTCAATATATTTAGTGGACTGCCCTGATACAAGCAGTCAGCGTTTTTGCATTTAAGTCAGTCTGGAATGCGTAGAGGTAATGGAATTTAAAAATCTTTCGACATGACTGTTAAAGCCTACTGATAACTCCTCTGCGTTTCACAGGAACCCTTTATAGCGCATGAGCATGGCGTACAGAGGCGGATCTAGGTTTTTCTCGAGGGGGGGGCGGGTTTTCAAAAAATTTTCGAAATTTTTGTCGACCTTATATTTTAGGTCGACTGAACTGATTTTTTTTAGCTCTCCCTAAGCACGGTTCAGTCCCTGTTTTGGCCAAATTTTCTGCGCCGCAGGCAAAAATTTGAAAAAACAGTCCATAAAGGCGTTTTTGGCACTTTTTGGAAATTTGGAAAATTTTGACCAAAAAATCGCGGTTTTTCGGCGCGCGCTCACCCCTCAAAATTTGTATATATTGGCGCCAAAGGCGCCTTTAGAAAAATTTTAGGGTCGTCCTCCCGCCCCTCCCCTCTAAATCCGCCACTGATGGCCTATACAGGTTATCGTATTTGTAGCTCAACACTGAAAGACTGCCAAAAACATATCGCAAAGACTGCCGTTGTACTTTTTCTTTAGACAATTTGCATTTTAGACGTTTTTTTTTGTTATATTAGCTGTTTCTAGTTTTTGCCCGGTAGAATGTATATATAGTTGACTGTCAAAATGAGTTGAACGCTTTGGCTTCCATTGACAGACTGTGGTTATCAGTAAATCTTTTTCAGGCCTATTTGAGAAAGACAAATTCATCTTCAAAGTGCAAGTGGCCTTCCAAGTTCTGCTGCACTCTGGCGAGATCCAAAAAGACGAACTGGATTTTCTTCTCAAGTTTCCCACCTCTCTCGACTTCAAGAGCCCCGTTGATTTCCTCAACGACGCCTCCTGGGGAGCAATTAAGGTAGCGCTTATTGTGTGTCCGTTTCATCGGTTAACAAACGGCATCATATGTCACACAACGAAAGCATCAGTAAAAAATCTCCATAATTTTCAAATGGGCTAAATTTATCAGGTGTACCATTCAATCGTTTCATTATTGACATCTAACCTAACTGCACTTCATTTTCTTTTTTGATGATTCCTGTGGAACAGCAAATGAAATGAACAAATCTGAAATAAATATATATGTTTTTGTCGCAAACGTGTCTTTTCCTAGTTTATAACTCTTTGGGAACTTCGGCCTGCATAATTTTCCAACTACGTTTTTTTCTCATTGTCCGATTGTTATGGAAATTAACATATCAACTAATTAGGCCGTGGCAAACAAATTTGGTCTTAGTACTTATCGTAGTAAAAACAGTCATACCCGGGTCTTAGTACTTATCATAGTAAAACCAGTCATACCCGGGTCGAGGTCGTGGTTGTATGTTCAGACTTAATAAAAGTGAATCGATCCGTGTGGGGACTAAAACTCATTATCGCCACGCAGGTCATATTATGCAAGCCTATACATAAGTCTACCAAGTCTGAACTTAAGTCTGCAAAGTCTGAACATAAGTCTGCAAAGTCTGAACATAAGTCTACAAAGTCTGAACCTAAGTCTGCCAAGTCTGATCATAAGTCTGCACAGTCTGAACATAAAATGACCAAAGTCTGAACATAAAATCTGCAAAGTCGGAACATAAGTCTACAGTGCTGATTTAAATTATCCGGACAAAACTAACAAAACTTGAATTTTCAAACGCTTTTCTCACAAATTGGAATAAGATTAGACAAAAAGTAATCTGAACAAAAGTTGCTTAAATCTTCATCAGAATTAATACGGTGCAATTTTTTCTCCGGAATTCTCAACTAAATTTTTACCCCAAAAATGGGTCATTTTGGCTTTTTTTAATTAATCAAGAATTACGCCAAAACTACAAAAATAAAGTCTGCAAAGTCTGCATCGATCCACATAGGGAGCAAAATCTCATAGAAACAACGCAGTTCAAAGTTTGTAAAGTATGTAGAAAATGTTTTCCCTGTGATTTTTTTTTGTAAATTTAGTGGGTTTTGAAAATAGCTATTTTAGCCAGTTTGGGATATGTTTCGTTTTTACAACACGAATAAGTGGTGGATGAATGCAGCAATTCATTTTGTAGTATAATTAGGGTGCAATACGGTAATTATATCCCTTTGTAGTTAATAATTGCCTTTGTAATTTACATTTGGGGACAATTTAAGAAAACATTCTTACTTTTTGAGCCCGGTTTACCTCCACAGATCAAAAACGCTAATCATACAAACAAAAAACTAAGTCTATGAAAAAAAATATCATACAAATTTCATATATTTTGTTAAAATGGTGTCATCAAAAAACCAAAGAAATTTTTCTTGTTATGGCATAAAAGCCAGTGTATCGTACTACATAAAAAGTAAAAGTTTTTTGCCGAAAAAATGCTAATCAAATAATTTCAATATAAGGAATTGCATGACTAGCTCTTTTGAGGTCCACAACAAACAGTTTTCACATTCATTTTGAAATTGCCGCAATTAGAAACTTGTACTTGCACACTTTTTCCAAAAAAAAGTTTTGCAACTTTTTTTTGTGCAAAAATTAGTCCTGGATACAAAAGAATGGGACTTTTTTCTGTTTCTCTGGATATTCTTTTAAAAAATCACCAGAAATTTTTTTTTCTTTTGTATGGCAAGCTTATGTATGCATTAATCAAGGTCTAATAATTTAAAGATTCAAGTTTTGAAGATAATCATCTTTGAATTTATTTGCCAAATTTTTTTTTTAATGCTTTCAGTGTATGATATGACAAAGAAAACTCTTATATACTTCAGGTAATTTCCAATAAATTGTAACGCCAAGATTATCAAATCTTTGGTGACACTAATTTTGAGTAAACAATGGTTTTTGTCACTTGTTTTCTGGCACGAACACATCCCAAACTGTCATGAATTAGCTATACCAAATGAGGCGACTAGAAAAACATCTTGGCCCGAATTCTTACGTTTAAACTTGAAAGGTTGAAATTTCAGATTGTCAGCAGTTGATTTCAGAACGTCAGCATTTTTCAGACCTATAAATTTGTTTCGAGTTCGATAGTAAAAACTTATCTCGGGAAAAAAACTCTTGAGCTATGTTCCGTGGCTGTTTTTACGATCAGGAGAATCTTCATTTTACTCAAAAATGCCTGAAAAGATTATTGAGAAAATTTAATTCTGTAGAATAATCAAAAATGCCCATTCAATTTCCGCAATTAGTTTTTAATTTTGCGTAGCCATGATAATAAAACAACATTCTCTCGAAGTTCATAAATTCTCTTTCCCATCTAGATTTACGATCCAGCAGTACCACTGAAGTACATCAGGGTTAGAACAACCAGCAATTTGTTTTGAGCAGCTTTAGTCCACAGGTGAAGCGTTATCTGCACAGTTTTTCCCCAGCCCCACTAGCTAAAATTTAATCTGATATATCAAAATTTTCAAATTTTATAAATGTAAATACTTTAAACAGTTTAAAAAAACGTTATCAGCTGTTAAAAGCAGTCACTAAATTCATGGCTTTGCTCTTATACAAACTGTATAGTTTTGTTTTCAAGCACAAAAACTGAGCCATTTTCTTAGGCAACAACCAGGCTGTGTTTGGGTCTTAAATTTTCTTCATGAAACAAAAAACATGAAGAAGTGCCTCAAGTCCAATTCCCTATAATTTCAATTTTTCAATTTTATTTTTTTGTAGTCGTTTTACGCATTACTATGATTACATGCTTGACTCTGACAACCTTGATTTTGGCAACTTTGCTTAGAAAAGTCACTATGTGCAGCATGCAAAACGTCATTGCCTCTTGACAATGCACACATTTTTTCAGATCTGAACCTCAAAGTTTTGAGAAAGTGAGGGAAAACCAATTTATTTTTCGCCCTTTTTTTATTAACAAATAAAATTACTTAGCTTTGGCCTATTTAGGCACCCCAGGTGATCTTCTTCGTGAATTATTTTTATCTTTTCTTTTTATTGTAAATTTTGACAATCGTAATCTCTTTTCAGCTATTTTGAAGGTTTTCTTACCCCTTCTTCTGTTTTTTTGTTTCCTTTCCCATTAAAGATTTTTTAAAACAGGTTGATGGATACAAATAATTAGTCCCAGGGCATCAAATAAAAAACAGTTTCACTTTACTGTTCTCAGACTCTAGAGATTTAGACCCGGACTACTTTGACGGGCTAAAATTCGAAAGCGAACACTCAAATGTAAGTTTGTCAAACCGATTTACCTCCACAGATCAAAAACGCTAATCATACAAACAAAAAAACTGAGTCTATGAAAAAACATATCATACAAATTTCATACATTTCGTAAAACGTCATTGCCTCTTGATAACGCACACGTTTTTTTTTCAGATGTGAACCTCAAATTTTTGAGAAAGTGAGGAATAACCAATTTAATTTTCGCCCTTTTTTATTAACAATTATATTTGTTTAGCTTTTGCCTACTTAGGCACCTCAGGTGATCTTTTTCGTGAATTACTTTTAAATTTCCTTTTTATTGTAGTTTTTGTCAATCGTAATCTCTTTTCAGCTGTTATAAAGATTTACTTACCCCTTCTTCTGTTTTTTTTTGTTTCTTTTCCCACTAAAATTTTTTAAAAACAAATAAAAAACAGTTTCACTTCACTGTTCTCAGACACTAGAGATTTAAATCCGGACTACTTTGACGGGCAATAATTCGAAAGCGAACACTCAATTCGCGATTTAGTGTGTCCTCTTAAAGCGTAAACAACAAACTAAATCATTCCAAATTGTACTGAGGCAAGCAGATTGCCCTTGGTTAATTTCACACCAGAAGCATGTGCATTTCAATGTAGCAAAATGGCGTGTGGAGGAAAGCTTTCAAAAGAGAAACACTAACTTTAAATGTTATTTTTGTTTGTGCTTCTTTGATAAACATGTGAGGTGTTATCCGCACAATTTTTTCCGCCTCACCTGTCCCTGCTTAGACATATTTTTAGTTCAGTTATTCAATCTATTTTTACAAATACAAAACAATATGTACTGTCGGTACCCGAGGCAAGTTTTTGTGCTCGAGTTAGTCGTTCCTGCAACCAGACGGCCCTTCAGCTGATTAATGTTCCTGTGCGAATAAGGACGGGCTGTTAAAGCCTGATCAAATGTGCTCAGTTTCCAGTTTTGGTCAATTTTTGACCAAAGCCAAGGAGCTCACGTGGTTCTAGAGGAGAGTTGGAGACAGTAAGCTTCGGCTATTTTGGAAACAGTTTTTAGTACTTTTTTTTAATTTTTAACGAGATAATCTTTCTGCTTTAAAATTTTTTTTTGGTTACTTTTTGAGAGTAAAATAAGTGATACCAGTTCTGATGCTAGATTTAGAATATACTTGGTCAAAAATAGATTTTAACCCAAGTATATTTCTAATTTATTTTGTTTCAGTGGTTTAATTAAGTCTACTGCTGTCGCCTCCTAATTAACCGTCGCGTACTTTTCTTTTTGTATTCATCCAAGAAAGAAACTATGTTCGTTTTTTGATGTACAGCTGGCAACTCCGAGAGGCCTTAGAAACCAGGGGATCGGCACTCTCGCCAATCAATTGATCCACCCTATGATATATATTTAAGCCGGCTAATAATCCTCAAATTGTTCTGAAGGCGCCCGTCGATGACAAAATGAACTAGTTTTAAAGGGGAGCGTGTGCCAAAAAACGCATCTGCATCCAGTTTCCAGCGTTAATAATAGATTATATTGTGATTTTAGTATCACTTTTGCAAAAATGAGAAAGAATCAGTTTTTAATCATTTAAAAACAGATTATAGTCTCTCTTTTTGAAATCAAAACCTAATCAATTATAATTATTTTTAATTGAATATAATCGATTTCTTATCCGCCTTTTTTAGATACAATAATATTCAATTATAAAAGATTATAATTCATTATTTTCATTCCGATTTCTATTTCAAGAGCTTTGCACAGAAATCCATTAAGATCGATTATAATTGATTATAATCCCTTTGGTTTGCCCATATTGTTCTCGAAGTTCTATCTAAATTGCCTGTATTTTATGCTTTTTGTAGAAGTTGTTTCCGGTGAAAAATGGAAAAATTGTTGTTAAAGTTTTCAAATCAGTTCAAATTTATAGGTGTTTTTTTCTTTTCTGCCCCATTAGAATTATTTTATGAGGCAAATTTTTTTAACCACCAGTTTTTCAACCACTAAAACAAAACCACATTGGTTTAGTTTCATGATAGATTCGGAAGTTTTTTTTTCGCCTATCGCGGGAACCTTTCAACTTATATGAAAGGATCTCTACGAAAATCTTGTTTCGGGGTAAAACTTTGTGTTCAGATGATCGAAAGTGTGACAAGATATCTCTCTTTTAGAGATTTTGTTATTGACGCAAATTTAAAAACTCAAATGATATGACTCGAATTTTGTTTTGATTCGACAAAATTTAGCGAAATAAGGGGTTATAATCGATTACAATGGATCATAATGGATTTTAAGGGTTTTTTGTTTGAAACATAATCAATTATAATCGATTATGAGAGATTCTAATATCCAGGAAAATACCACGACTCTAATCAGTTAAGATCCTCTAAGCCTCAATTTTGGTAATTATAATCAATTATAATTGTCGAAAAATCATCATGATAATCCGTTATAATCGACTGCTTACACCTTATTTTGGATGCGGGAAATTTTCCGTTCAAAATACATGCTATTTTTCTGAGATAGGTTTTGTTGCATCGCCTTCAAGCAACGATCACTGAGCACAAACAACGACCATTTGAATCATAGCTAGCCGCATCATTTTGAAATTTAAATATCGTATGGGGTGTATTTTCAAAAAAAAAGTTGAGAGAGATCAAGCTTTTTCTCGCTTTGTGAAAACTTTATCAATTTTCTAATTTCTATAAAAAACTTCTCCTTTTTGTTCATAGCAAGGACATTTGGAACGTTCAGGGTTTCACCGTGATACAAGCAGTCTTGTTTTTGTTCAAAAAGTGATGAATGTTTCAGTCCACAGGTTTACTAGCATTTCAAACATTTAGAAGGAATTTGTTGATTACTTACAATGAATGATGGGGCGTCATGTAGGAACTTAAACAAAAGGGTGGATTGTTTTATGTTTTTTTTTCTACTGGGTTTGACTGAATTCTGTGTTTTTGTTTATGTCGATAGAGTCTGGCTGAGATGGATGAGTTCAAGAATCTGGATCGAGATATCGAGGGCAGTGGCAAGCGGTGGAAGAAATTTGTGGAGAGCGAATACATCGAGTTGGAGAAGTTTCCCCAGGAGTGGAAGAGCAAGACGGCCTTGCAACGTCTCTGCATGCTGCGAGCACTGCGCCCTGACCGAATGATTTACGCCATAGAGTTTGTATTTTGCTCGACCCACTCATTCATTCAAATAAAAGCATTCACAAGCAGCAGCCTGTATGTAATCAGCACACGCAATTTTCTTGTCATACCATGCCCCTGAACTGACCAATTAGATTGTATTCTTTTGATGTGACTCAATTCAATTCAACTCTCAAGTTTATGTGTACTCCTGTTTCAATTTCCACTAAACGCTCATATTTTAAAAGCTACTGTGCATATCAACAAAACCGGTACTCATTCCGATAATATTTGAGACTACATAAGACTCTCAAAATAGAAACTCCCACCCACTTCGAAATTTCTCAGATTAAAATTGAGCAAATTGAAAAAAAAATTTCAAAACTTTTATATCATACAGACATGAATTACAGGTAGAATGGAAAACAACAGGCGCTAACTGTCCCAAATGAGTCGAATTGGAGCTGTTTTGAACCGCAAACTTACTTTAGGTGAAATAAGAACGACAGCAGTTTTCAGACCAAAAAGTCCGTAGCAAGTTCAATGGTAAAAATTTGTCTCGAGAAAAATACTTCGGGATCAGGAGATTCTTCATATGTACCAAAACTGTTTGAAATTTTTTTTTGAGAAAGTTAAAGTCTGTAGCATCATCAAAAACTGCCGATATACTTAGAGTAATCAGTAATTAGTTATCTGTAGCCACGATAACGAAACAACATTCTCTCGAACTTGATAAATTCTCTTTTTCATCTAGAAAAACAATCCAACACTAGCACTGAAATACATCGCGGTTAGAAAAAAGCGATTTTTTCAATGTATTTTTCAAGGTATAAGAGATGAAAAATTATCCGCAAAGTTTTTCCCAGCCCGCACGAGCTAATGTTTGGTCTGATATATTAAAGTTTCTATAAGTTTCGAACATAAACTTTTGTACGTTCGAAAAAACTTTATAAGCAGTAAAGGGCAGTAAGTAAACTCTTGGCTTGGCTGCAATACAAACTTTTTTTTCATTTGATGCCAGTTCAAAGTTATTTGTGCCTGTTCCTATGCTAGATTTGTAACCTACTTGGTCGAGAAAGAAAATTTAACCCGGGCATTTTTAAATTAATTTTGTTTCAGTGGTTTGATTAAGTCTACTGCTTCCGGTCTCCTAAGAAACCGTCGCGTACCTTATTTTTTGTTTTCATCCAAAAAAGCAACTATGCTCGTTTTTTGATGTTCAGCTGGCAATCTGTGAGGCAGTGGAATACAGGGAATCATAACTATAACCAATCATATGATCCACACTTTGAAATTTTTTTAACATCTATTTTATGCCGCTAAACCATAAACTTGTTCTAAGAGCGCCGTCAAAGCCAATATGACTTATTCTGAAAGGGGGCTCGCTTCACAACTTTTGAAAATTGAGCTAATTATCTTAGGTGAAAATCAGGTTGTGTTTGGGTCAATTTTTCTGTAAAGTTTTTTGTCATTCGCAACCTTTTTTGTGATTAAAAAATTTTTCTTGAACGTTCATTATTTTAAAGCTATTTAAGTAACAAATTCCTACCGATGTTTTTTCAAACTGTTTGATAAAAAAATAATTAGTCTCAGGGTTTCAATTAAAATAGGTTTCACTTATTCATACTTTTCGCATATAATAGGGTGCAAATTCGAACTACTTTGACAGATATAAATCCAAAGGGAATCCTTAATTCGCAATGTATTGTGTCCTTTTAAAGCGTAGGCAACAAACTAAATCATTCTTAATTGCACTGAGGCAAACAGATTGCCCTTAATAATTTCACACAAGACTCTATATTTATTTCATTATCCGCAACATAGCGTGTGGGGGCAAGTTTTCAAAAAAAAATTAGAAACAACAATCGATCGACGTTTGTTTGTGCTTTTTAGTATACATGTGAGGCGTTGTCTGCACACTTTTTCCGTCTCATTTGACCCATTTTAGACAAAATTCCAGTTGATTTAAAACTATAAAACATTATATTGTGTTGGTATCCGAGGCAACTTTTTCTTCCTGGGTTAATTTGGCTAAAACATAGGAACTCACGGTATTCCAGAGGGTTGAAGAAGAAAAAAATTTCAGCTATTTTGAAAGAGTTCTTCATCAGTTTCCTAACTTTGTAATGAGGTTTTTCTTTTGCTTCAAAATGTGTTTCTGTTGCTTTTTAGAATTAAAATTAATGATGGCAGTTTTAATGCTAGATTTGTAATATACTTTTTCAGGAAAGAGATTTTACCCAAGAATTTTTTTTGAGTGGTTTGATTAAGTTTACTGCTGTCGGCCTCTTAATCAACCGTCGGGTACCTTACTTTTTGTATTCTATGTTTTTTTGATGTTCAGTTGGCAACTATGTTTGTTTTTTCATGTTCAGTTGGCAAATCAGAGTGGCCTTGGAAACCAGGCGATTTACACTATCGCCAATCAAAGAATTTACTATTTGATAATTTTTTCTGGCATCTATTTTAGGCCGAACAACCATTAGTTTGTTTTTAAGGCGCTGTCGGCGCCACTATATACTAATTTCTAAGAAGAGCGCGTTTTACTAGTTAGAGCGCATTTTTTTCTGGCAGGCTGTTGGATTTTAACCTTTCTTCAGGAAAAAAACTTGAAAATCTGCCTACAATCCAATGCCCTACAGTTTCATTTTGATAAAACTTCAGACTCGTTTACGCGTTACTGTGATTATATGCTTGATTCTGACAAGTTTGAGTCTGACAAATTTGTTTCAAAAAGTATCTTTGTGCAGCATGCAAATCCTCAATGCATCTTGACAACGCTTTTTTTCAGAACTGAACCTCATAGTTTAGGAAAGTGAGGAAAAGCCAATCTAATTTTCGTCCACATTTTTAAACAGTTATATCGTTATTTTGCTTCGGCCTTAAGAAGCGCCCCTGATAATTTTCTCTGCTACAGCTGAAAGAATTGCTGCGCTGAAAAACATAATTTATCTTCCTCGTGAATTACTATTATGGTGTGTATTTTCTTTCTCTTGTTGAACCTGCATTTTACTATGGTTTTGTGTTTTTTCGTAATATCTGATGGGTGATTATAAAATTTTCTGAGCCCTTTTTCATTTTTTTTCTAAGCTGGGCTATCTTATTAAAAATTTCCCACCAATTTTTTTTACAGTTTGATAAAAAAATATAAGTCACCCAGAACATCAAATTATAAAAAATTATTCAATCTTTTCGCAAACTTTAAGCGTTTAAATTCGGACTACTTTGAGGGCAATTATTCCAAAAAGAACACTTAATTCGCATTGTATTGTGTCCTTTTAAAGCATATGCAACAAACTAAATCAGTCTAAGTTTCACTGGGGCAAGAAGTTTGCCCTTGTTCTTTTCACAGCCGATGCTTATTTTTTTCATTGTACGCATTATAGCAATGGGGTCAGGCTTTAAGAATCGGTTTTTGTTTGTCTTTTTAGACCACATGTGAGGCGTTCTCAGCTCAATTTGTCCGCCTCATCAGACCCAAATTAGATATATTTTTACCTCATTTCTGTAATTTTATTTTTACAACTATAAAACCTTGTATTCTGTCTGTAGGCGAGGAAATTTTTAATTGTGCTTGAGTTAGTCGTTCCCGCGACCCGACGGCCCTTCATTATTTAGCTGTTGCAGGGCAAGATGGGCTGTTTAAGCCTCTTCAACTGTGCTCAGTTCACTTTTCTGATCTGTCATTCTGACCGAAAGAGGCTCAAACAGAAGAGGCTCAAAAACCCGTCCTGGTTCCTAGAGAAAAACTATCAGAAGAGGGGCCGTTGCGTTGCGGGAACGACTAATTCAAGCACGAAAAATCACTTCGGTTACGACTGTATATAACCGTTTTTTTAGATCGTTCTTAAAATGTTCAACGATAGTTTCCTCCTGCTTTAAAATAGGTTTTGTTTACTCTTTAGCAGCAAAATTTTTGATGCCAGTTCTAATGCTAGATTTGGAATATACTTGGTCAGGAAAGAGATTACCATGATCAGCTGGCATCTCCGAGAGGCCATGGAAACCAGGGCATTGACACTATCATCAACCAAAGAATCCACACTTAGCTAAAAGTTTATGTTTACAGTTGCAAGCAATGCGCTGTGAACGAAATATTTACGCCATTGAGTTCGTGTTTTGCTCAATTCTCAAAGACATTCAAATCAAAAGCTTTCACGAGCAGCCTGTACTTTATGTCATTTGCAATTTCCTTGTCATGCCATGCCTCTGAAACGACCAATCCTTTGAAGTCTTTTTTGTTGTGGCTCAAACCAACCCAGCCCTTCAATTTATATGCAATCCAGTTTCAGTTTCCACTAAAGGCTCCTTATTCAAAAGTTACTGCGCATCAACAAAACCGGATTATACTCCGTTATCTTCACTGATATAATGCGAGGCTATATACGGTTCTCAAATTAGAAACTTCCACGCACATAGAATTTTCTCAGATAAAAACAGATTACATTAAAAAATTTGCCAAAAGTGTCACTTTTTATCGGCATGAGTTACAGACGCTAACTGTCCCAAAATAGCCGAAGTGAAACTTTTTTGAACCTGCAAACTTGCGATTAAAGATGAAACTTTAAAATGTAAATAGAACGTCAGCAGTCTTCAGACCAAAAAACTCCGTCAATTTGCAAATTCAAAGGTCCACCCTTGTCTCAAAAAAATACTCTCGAACTATATTTCGTGACTTTTTTGATTGGGAGAATCTTCTGATGTACTCAAAAATATTTGAAAAGAATGCGGAGAAAAACAAAATACGTTGCCTTATCAAAAAATGCCAATTCAAATATAGCGGAAGCAGTATTTAGTTATCCTTAGCCACGTTAAGAAACAAATTTCACTCGAAGATGATAAGTTCCCTTTTTCATCTAGATTTACATCAGGGTCAGAAAAACAAGCGATTTTTTAAACCATTTTTGGTCAGGTGTTAGTCGTTATCCGCCAGTTTTTTCTTAGCTCTCATTAGCTACTCTTTGGCCTGATATATCGAAGTTTTTAAAAGTTTCAAGTGTAAACATTTCAAATGTTCAAAAAAATTTAAAATTAGTAAAGTACATTCATGGTTTTGCTCCTATACCAACTGCTTTTTGTCATTTGAAGAAGACTGTATAATTGATTTTCAGTGCCAAACTGTAAACTGATTTTGAGTTCAAAAACAAATGAGGCATAAACACGCAATTAGATCTTAAAATCAGAACAACAATGGAGAATTGCGAACTTGATTCAACGAAAAACTTACTGTAAAAAAAACTCATTTTTTTCTTAAGTTTTTTTTTCAAAAGCCCTGATTTTTTTTAAATCCAAAACAATCTAAGGAAATAAATTGAAGAATGAATGCACAATCAGATATTACACTGAAAATGAAAAAAAATTGCAACTTAAAAGTTTTTGAAGCCAGTCCTAACGATAGATTTGGATATTACTTGGTCAGGAAAGAGATTTTAACCCCAGCAGTTTTTTACTTTTTCTATGATTCATTCGGAAATTCCTTGTCATGCCATGCCTCTGAAACGACCAATTGTTTTGAAGTCGTTTGTGTGTGGCTCAAACCAACTCAGCCCTGAAATTTATGGTTTTTGGCCGGATAGAAGATGGTTTTTGGCCTGCTTATTGAATACTTATCTAAAATTTTCTGAATAAAGTTTGAAAAATAGTAAAGGCTTACGGTTGGAAGAACTGCTTTCTTTTTTTAAGGATTTTCATAGAGGAGAAGTTGGGTGAGAAGTACAAGGAAAACCGTCGGGTGACATTCTCGGAGTCGTTCGAGGAGACGGGACCCAATATCCCTGTGTTTTTCATTTTATCTCCTGGAGTGGATCCACTGCTAGAGGTGGAATCTCTGGGCAAGAAACTCGGCTTCACCCACCAGAACGCGAAGTTTCATAACATCTCTCTCGGACAAGGACAAGACGTGGTGGCCAACGCCGCACTGGATATTGCTGCCGAGCACGGTGAGTTCATGAGAAGCTTTCGGTGCAACACAAAAACAAAAAAAAACAGGAATAAATCAAACTTTCTACAACATTGTTTATTGTTCTTATTCTAAGCTATTCAGCGCACTTGCTTCTTGAACTAATGATCCAGGGTGTCTTTCATCAAACAATAAAAATGAGATAATTTGAGCTCGGTTGTTTTTTTTCAGACCATAAGGAACAATCGATAAAATTAGATTTTTGAACGTTATAATTTCATGTCTCACTAAAAATAATAGCTTTATGATTTTTTTTCTGTCGTTTTCCGAGCAATTATGGCTAAGCGTTTAAAGTTAGATTGTAACGTATTATGATCAAATCTGTTAACAATTGTTAGTTTGTTCATCATACAATATTTCGTTGCATGTTGCCAAAGTAAATTGAAGTTCAGAAGTCGGGGGTTGTGGAACCAGATCCAAACTAGATTTTATTATTGGTTATTATTGGTCGTAGGGCAAAAGCCAACTCAAACTTTTATATTTAGAATTTTACTAGCCTTAATCTTAGATTTCCATTTTACTGACATAGTATCTTTGAAGAAAAGTCTTCAACGATCATTAAAGGCGCTAAACCTAATAATTATACAATAACGACTGATAAAAATATCCCTAGTCGTTCTCCGCCAACAAATCTGCATTAAAATTCAATAAATCTTGGAAAATATTTTTATTGAATATGAAAATACAAAACTACTTAGTATAAAAACTAATTGTTAGTATATATAAATCATCTCTTCATCCCAGCTTCATCATCTAACACATAACAGCAAATCATAAACCTACTAACATCACCAAACATGAAACTAAAATTATTTATCAATTAAACCTTAAATTAAATTATCAAGGCCTATCCTTGTTTTTATTCAAATTAAACTTATTTAAAGTAACATATCATTAAGGCTTCCCTTGGATCTTTAATTAAATTTCACCTAAATCAAATTAAATTTCAATGAATTTTTTATTCTGATCATCAAGGCTTATCCTTGGATCGAAAAGAACAATTTTGTTCTTCCGCTCACAAATTATTAAGTGTTCAACTACCTCAAACTTCGATTCACTACTAAACCCTTCCTCAAGACCCAGGACTAACAGAACTTTTTTAAAAACAAATAAACATTCCAATTAGGATAAACAGTGTAGAACCTCGGTTATTCATCCTCCACTTGACCCCCATCTTAACTGACCCAGAATAATACTTAAACTTAGTAAGTTTAAAATAGTATCTAACGAACTACTTGCGTTCTAATTATACCTGAACCATATGGATCGATTTACTATTCTCCAACCCTTGATCACAAATCACTACCCCTAGGTAAGATTAAGTAAATTAACACCTCAACTTAGACTAGCCACTAGAAAGTTAAAATCATTCTCACGAATCGATATATGTTTTTCTCTCCAACCCTACAATACATCATTTAAGTTAAGCTAACCACAAAAAATTGTAAGAAAAAATAACTTAAGACATTAGAAATTACTAATCCCAATCTTGCATCCGTAATCCTATATCTTATGTCAAGAGACAAAAAAACAATTAAATGTCACAATTGTATAATAAACGACGAATCATACGATCTTGTAGTCACTCCACACAAACAAACAATAGGATATATAAGAAAAAAACGACAATTACTTAGGAAGAAAAATATAAGCAAACAAAAACAGATCATTCGAAAACGATTTTGAAAGCGAAGAAACGCAGTCTCCGAATTGGAAACCATGAAATATAAGATTATTACAAGCTAAAGGACTCGATAAAAAAATCATCAAGTTAACGATCAATTATTTTTTTCTTACTCGGAAACTACATCACAGTCATCAATAAAAGGAAAACGAAGATTAAAAAAGACATACAAAAACAAACCAGTACCCCTATACAATTGGAATCAATCAATAAAACACTTTGAAAATTACACACTAACGGTCATAAAAATCAAAAATGATTCAAATTGAAGAAGACCAAGAAGAAAACTCCATTCTCCCATTTTTTGTCAACCCACTAGCAGAAGATAGAGGACAAACACAATTTTATCAAAAACTAATCGCAAATTTATTTGAAAAAGGAGATAGCCCATGTACAAGAGAATTCCCAGAAGTAAAAATAACAAGACAACTTGTTGATCAATATCTAAAAGGAATATATAGCATCACACAAGAATACGGAATTCATACCATATAAATCAGTTAATTGAATAATTTTCATGGTAGATATCTACTTCAAACAGACGATGTAGATATAGAAGTTTTAAAATTATTCACAGAATATATTAAAATTACACAACATCAAATCTCACAAAGAGCAAATTCAATATTCACTAACAATGTATTTTCAATTGTTTATAGCTATCTATCTATACAAGAACGATTAGAATCTCAAGGAGATTCACCAGTTCAAACGTCTAAACATACAACTGTAAGAAACGAAATTGTAACATTCTCCGAATTTTTAAACGCAACGCGTGAAAATTTAACAAGTAACAAAGTCTCGCAACATGTTAAACATGATTGACAAAAAATCTTAGCATGGTTTATAATTGATAATTTTACACATAATACTGATTTAATTTTACTAGCAAGACAAAAATTTAGACCTCAAAATACAACTGATGAAACTGTCTTAGCAGAACACTCAATTATGTTTGGAACCCTGAATGGTCTCATTTGTAATTTGTGAACATACCAACAGATATTCAAGCAATTAGCACAATTTCCATTCACAAAGATAATGTTAAAAAATACCCACTCACAGTTGACGCAACACCTTTAAACTATAATTCATTTCTACCCGATAGATAGGAAAAAATAGTTTAAATTCAACCCTCATACAACAAAAAAACCTAAACGGAACTTGAAATCTTACACAACAAGATATTCAAACTCCATCACATTTCGTAAGTGAAGAAATAGTTGAAACAAAAACAACAACAGTGCATTAAAGTATCTCACCTATACACCCAAATCTTACAATTCCAAGGCCAAAAAACCAAACATTACCACAGGTAACATTACAATCTACAGTTAAACCCTCCGTTGTTCCAAAAGAAACTCAAATGGATTATCAAACATTTAGACCAATGACGAAACCAACACACAAACAAAGAACATTCCATAAAAACAATTTTTGCAGAACATAATTATAACTACGTAATAAGACCACAAACAACTAACTCCTCTCGTATATACACTCAAAACCATTTATTCTCACAGAGTCAAAATTTACAACAAGCATCATCAAACTCAGTGAATTTTAATGATTACCTACAAACTTCACAAGATAGAGGTGAAAATCACCCATTTTTTCAACAAAACAAGAATAATGCACAACGAAATCAATCTAGACATCAAGCACCTTATTATACATCTAATTATTTCCATCGGAGGATGAATAATACTATAATCAGAATCATCAACGATTTTACCAAAACCAAAGAACTCCTTCTCACAACATGGATCAACCAGATATTTTTGAACCATGTACACGAGAAGAACAAATAAAACAATCTAGATATAATCCAACACCCTACAATAAAATTTTCAACAACAAAATAGAGTTAATACTCATTCATATCAACCAACTCAGATGCATAACGAAATTCCACTACCATATTATTTACAACAACACGAAATAACAAAAAGCCAACAAACAAATTTTTCTCAAATGCCACACGCTGCAGAATCGTTACAAATGACTATGAATCCATCCCTAATGGGTGGATCATCAATAACATCAAATAAACCACTAATGGTATTCACAGGCACAGACCCTGAATATTTAGTAGAAGATTACCTAAACGCAGTCACAGCAAAGTTAATTCTAAATATAGGACATGAATCAGTAAATATGCCCCCTCATCAAAACTGGATACCTAGACGCACAGCGTCAATCCAGACCACACGTGATCGCGCAGCGTAAAAACAGTTTTCAGTTTTACCTAAAGATATAAAATCAGATTGAAAAAGATTCACACAAGAATTTTCAAAAATGTTTGAAAGAAACAAACAACATCAAATAGTTTTATGCAACAAAATTCGTAGACTACCAAATGAAACGATTGAACAACTCGCAGAAAGAATCGAAACACTAGTCCGAAAAGCATATTCACACAACAATCATGATTATAAAAACGCAAGGATGACAGAATTCTTAATGATGACTCTAACACCTCAATCATGAAAAATAGCAATCAAAAAGGGAGAGCATCACATCCTTCCTCAATTCGAGAACCAGATTTAGACTTTAGAAAACTAGTTGATAAATAAGAACAAGTAGAAATCACTATGAAACTAGAAGAAACAGAGAATATCAAGCTATAAAATGTAAATAATATTCAAAATACTACTACACCATAAACCATATACAAGACTCAGATCCAGATTTATCCGAAAAAAGTTACTGAAATATTAAATATATACGAGAAAAATCCAAAATTTAAAGGTACACCATCATTCAAAAAATGGTGTAACTATTGCCGAAGATACGGACATAGCATTGCTGATTGCAGATAAAGACAACAAGACAATCAAAATAAACAAAAAAAAAACAAAAAACCAAACAAATCATTTCACCAGTACATGAAAAAAGATCAAAATTTACCTAATAAAAAAGTTCACAGTACTAATAGGTCTGGAAAACCACTTCCAAACTATTCAAATTGTTAAGGAAATCAATCACCGTATAACTCTAACTACAAAGGAACATCACCAAACCAAAAAAATTTACGTAATTTCTCACAAAATAGATATAGTCGATCAAATAGTCGAACTGATCAGCATCCAAATAACTATTCACGATCAATTTAAAAACCAACCAGAATATTTGTTTGAAACCCGTTCCCAATCGCACTGTACGAATAGACACTATTCCAATGGTAGATCAAGAAATTCGTCGTACAATAGAAATAGGAATTATTCCAACAATAGGAATAGAAGCTACTCATATAATCGAAATCAACGACATCAAGATAATATATCACGAGATTA